TTTCTAAGAAGAAGGTACTTTTAGGCGTCAGATTCTTTTGCTTCTCCTAAGATATAAGGGGTTATTAGTCAATCCAGCGAAGAAGTCAGATGTCTACCTAGATTAGTCCACTGAAGGAAAGAAATTTGACCGACGCACAGGCGCTAATAATCATTCCTGAACAGGAACTCTAACTCATCAAGAATAAAGGAGTTTGATTACGCTCCAACAGAAGGAGTTTATCCAGAGGTTTCAATAAACTGGCATAGCCCCCTTTTCTTTATCTTTATAAAGGAGTCCAGCTATAGGGTGTATGGTGAAATCCACTTCCTCAGCTCAACTAGCTAAGCTATCATAAACCTCAGCACAACTATTTGAATCGACATCAACCTGAAGAAAAGGGACGGGGACAAGGAATGCCCTGTCTGTGAGGGAGTCAATGTAGACTGTTTGCGACGTGAATCAAGGATCTTTCGCCTAGGACACTAATTCCACTGCATATGAGGGAGGTTTGTGCAAGTGAAGATTTTGTAATAGTTGAGAAGTGGACAAAACAAATCCACCATTGGCAATAGTGAGCAGTTTCTAATTCTCCGGATAGGAAATAGAAATTCAGCCATTTGCCGACAAAGAGTATAGTTAATGAACAATAAGCAGGGATTGAAGAAATGTAGACCTCAGAGAGAAAGAGAATGGGATCCCACCCTTTTCTCTCCTTCATCTATTCTTGCTTGTCCTTGAGTTCAAGTAGCTATGAGCTACAGTTGCTATGAGTTAGTGAGCTATGGCTGCTATTGAGCGAGATCTATTGAGTTAAGGAACTCTTGAGTCTGGCTCCACTTGAGCTCTGTTTCAAACCCTAGTCAAACCTATTTAGGGAGTTTCGGGTTCCGGATTTAGTGGTTTATACCTCTGACGAACCCGGGTGGAATTTCAACAAGGGATTCCCTAACTAATTCTTCCTACTATACTAGTCTTTCTTCTTTTCTTTCAAAACCCGGACTAAAAGCGGCCTTCTATTCATTGCTTGAGAAAGTTCTCTCTTCTTCAGCTCCCGATATCCTTCGATATCCTTGCTTTGCTACTCTTCCTCCTTGAGACACAGAGATTAGATACTTGGCATACGACCCGGTTTCGATTAAAAGAGTGGGATTCTAGCTGCTTTCCTTTGACTAGGCCCTTGAAAGATAGCTGGCCCAGGAGGTCGATGGTCTGCATTGGATTGAAGAATTTCCCCTCTTTCTATTGAATATTGAATAAAGGATAGATCATATCTGAATAGGTAGTGAGCCAGCGAAAGTTGCAGGCTGGATGCCTATTTCAAGAAGTGGAGTTGCAGATGCTCCTGAGTCGCCCATCCTATTTTCTTCTCTTTTTTTTAGCTACAACCGACAGCATTCAATCGATTGGCTTTTGCAGGGGTCGGGCCTGGGCTCAGTGATTGATCTAAGGGAGGGAAGAGACTTTTCCTTCTTTGGCCTTTTGGGATCTCCATCCTTGACTATAGTCAATAGAGATGGATCAACTCAGGATTGAACTAGATTGGGCAATTTGATCTATAAGAGATCCTCATGGGTAGGACGTCAAAAGTCTCCTTAAAGCGGCCTATTCAAAGAAGATAATGGGCGCACTCGACGACAAGGGCAGATCCTTTAGCTCGAGACCTAAGCTGATTGAAAGTTGACAATGAATGAGCTAACAGTTGAGCTAATCTTTCTCTACATCGGCCCATATTCTATATAAGAAGAATCTCTAGCTTTCTCTTTCCTTTTTATTTGCAATTTTGAGAGGCTGGTTCCTTACCGGGCCTGTGAGAAGGAGTAGGGGTAGAATCTTCAGGGCCTTCCGTCACCTGATGGACCTGTTGAACTGATCTTGATGATCAGGCAGAAGCAGGGGTTCGGGGGGCAGAAGATGTTCAAAAGTTGCGGGCAGGCTGCAACTAATCATATGCTCATAATGGGACGCCCACAATACTTGACTTTAAAAGCCTCGCTTGAAGAAGGGTCCATTGGCGCGCGAACCATCTCAAAGCTTGCCAGTCTCTCTCTCAACAGTAGTGGAATTGGCTTTGGTACTATCTTACCTATTCTAATGTTCTAACTCAGATCGAAGTCAAGCCTCTTGCATAAAGTCCACCCTTATATGCTTGCTCGCGTTCACCTATAAGAGTTGGGACTTGATGAACGAAGGAATAAGCTTATTATAGTATAGGCAGAAGCTTAAGAGAATGTTAGAGGCGAGGTCAGAATGTTTGGACCACCTTTTTCTTGTTAGCGAACGTTTTCTTCTATTTCATTTCTATTCGTAAGGACTTAGGTGAGTGAGGAATACGTGGTTTATGGGGCGGCTCGCCCTCTTCGATTAGTTGAAAAAAAAGGCTTAGGCACCGTCCTACCCTGTTCGGGAAGACCGACTGCCCTAGACAACTTTTGAACGAAATGAAATCAATCAGATCAAATATCCACAGCTTGACGTCTGAGTCCATCAACCAAAGAAGAAGAAGCTTGATCGTTCTTGTCCCAGGGTTTCTGGAATCAATATAAATAATAAATAAATAATCTAGGGATCGTAGTTAATTCAATTGAAAGAATCACGACGCGGGATCTTAGGCTGTTGAAGAAATTTGATTAGGTTCAGATTCTGGGATGGAGGATCCGAAGGAGGCTTAAGAAGTCAAAAGCTAGCCATCCTCGAAGGGAAATGAGTAGAGAAGTCAATGCACGAGATCCCGGTGCTTTTGCCACCTAAAAAAATGGAGTAGAAGTCAATCATACCGGACAGCGAAATTCAATTCAGTTTGGTTTGACAGCTGCTTAACCAAAAGGGGGCGGTCTTGCGCGGTCTTCTATAGGATCTTGTGGGAGAGCTCTGATAGTGGAATTCATTTCTCTGTAGAGGTTATTAAATCCTTCGCGAAGAGTCAAACTCCTAAAAGGGATACTAGCACATTAGTCGGAAGAGTCAAGCGAATTTCTGTTCCGACAAAAGAAGATTCGGGAAGTGTTACGACAGTTGGAAGAAAGAAAAGGTTGATCCATAGCAAGCACCCGCACTAGGCGCCTAAGGGTCACATCGATCTCTCATTCATCTTGGGATCAACAGACTAGGTCGTCGATGGTTAACAGAAGACTTCTCAGGATTGAGCAAGCAATTGGATATAAAGAAATCACACTATATCTCTTCGTGGGACTTCCCCGAAAGGTCTCGGGTACGATTTTAGCCGCATCTATAGCACCCAGAATACAAATAGAGGAGTCCAGTTAAACCACTGGTGGCATTCCTTCT